AACAGGCTTTATCAATTATGGAGGACACAGAGGAGAGGTAGACCAAACAGAGCTCCACTATAAATAGACACATATCAAATGTATGACGTGTCATGGCTATTTTTAGACCCAATGTGTTCAAACTGTAGTTTAGACCTACTTCCCTCCTTCTCTCTCTCTCACTGATAAAGGTCTAATAGACATTCTTTTGCCAAGATCATATTCTACACAGATACACAAACATGGATGTGAATGCTTAGCCAATGTATTGCAAGACTGAGATGGCATACGCTACTTTCAGAAGTTTGGGGTCAGCGAGATTAAGATTTTTTTTATTCAATAAGAATGCAATAAATTGATCAAAAATAACAGTAAATACATTTATACGGTTACTATATATATATTATATATATATATATACATAACATCTCAAATAAATGCTGTTCTTTTGAACTTTCTAAAGAATGGTTGAAAGTAATTTCGTTTCTAAATATCACTTTTCAATTCAATTTATACAAAGAAATAAGCACTGCAGTAATTAAATATTAATTTGCTTATCTCCAAAGCTCACTTGAATTTGTTCAAGAGCATTAGACGTGACGTTACGATGCCATGGCAGCTTTAGGAAGGCTTTCTGGAGGTCACTGACTGTTTTGTTTCCCAGAATGAAAAGGTGAGGCTGCATTCTCCTACTTCTCTGTTAGCTCTGTTCCCTCCTTTCTTTTCTGAGGCTGTAGGTGAATAACAAGCTTAGCAGAAGAGGCTGGTGTGTGTGCGTATCTGACCCCAGACACACTAACAGGCCAGCATGTTGTCGGCGGTGTGGATCTCAGACCGCTCCCAGGTCATTATTGTGCCTCAATTCTCATTTGCCATTTGTAGGCTTTACCCACATAACAACCACAGCAAAGGTTTCCAGCTCTGCCTCAGAACAGACCAACTGCAGCTAAACTTGCCTCAAAAACTGCACAAACAAGTCATTAAAACTAAAACAGACACAGAGTGAGAGTGAGAGCGAGAGCGAGAGCGACAGACAGGAGGGGCTGTACCAACATGTTATGGTGTGGACACTTAAACCGCGTCAGCCTCAGGAAAACAAAAGACAACTAGTTTGAGATATACTACTATATTTTTTTACATTTCTTGAAGATAACAGCAATGCTAGCTTTACCAGGCACCCCAAAATATTGAGATATTGTTTTCTTATGATCGTGTGAATGTGATAAGTTGGTCCAAAGCAGACTGATATTTATAATAAAAGTCTTTTGTTTAATCTCAGGCAGTCAGGCATGATAGATGTGAATAGCTTTCGATCACTAGAATGGGTTGTTGTCGCGCGACAGGAAATGGTTATTTTCTCTCAGATAAGTGAAGCTATTGCAACATGCCACAACACACGGCAAGCGAAAGAGAGCTGGCTGCCATGGCAACCGTCCCATAGATTCATAAGCACGGAAAGAGGCCTAAGTTTTGCTGTCATCAGACTTATTCAGGACACACACATATTGAAGTCTCTTACAAATGAGTTGTGTACTTTCACATAGGGAGTTTCTCTATAGGGCTGCTCAGTTTCTCTGCAGAAAGGGCCGACTCAAAACCACTGTATTTTCCTCTGGGGTTTGGCATAAGCAGCTGCAGAGAGAGTGATAAAACTGTTGCATACAAGGACACGCACACACTCAACATGCCCATATTCAAATATGTACTCGGGCACACACACAGTTTCCCCTGCATCTAAAGCATGCTGTCCTGCAGCATATTTCATCATTAAGTTTCAACACTTAATCCTCTGCTCCAGTGACTCCAGCTCTCTCACATCATTTCAATAATCTGCATCTGCGGTGAGCGTCCAAACAAACACACACATGCACAACTGCGAGCCAACCCACCAGTTTTGGGCACACAAAATAAGGATGGGGCACAGTGGTCAACCAGTTGACTAGTCATCCAACAACAGACAATTTTATATTTGATATATTCCTATATTTATAATAATTAATTAATTAATTAATATTATTATTATTATAATTATTATTATTTTAAACTATTTATCTATGAATTTATTTCAATTTTATATTTTTAGATGTCTGTCAATTTTGAACATATGTAGAATGGCATGTCTACAAAATTGTCTGTTCACCCATGCTCACGTGCATAAATCAGTAAAACAGAAGGACAGGTAGAATAAGCCAAAGGGGAGCATACAAGTCGTGTCTAAAGGATAATGTGACCTTTTCCCCACCACCATCTACCATTCATGGACAAATTGAAGCCTTTTCCACCAGCCATCACTAATCGACAACCGGCAATCTAGGGCCATCATCCTGAAACAACCCGTCTCTACTGCCTGAACAATTTTACAGTGTCTGAATCACGCCCTTTGAACTGCGCATCTCCTCAGTGGCGTCTCCAAGGGCCGAAGAATTCACTTCAGTGCACACCTCATGGCTAAATGCACAGAACCTCATCAGATAACGCACACACTTCAACCCATCTACACACAAGCACACACTTTCCCCTCAGTCCTTCATGCAGGGCGCTGTCAGACAGACTTCCTGTGCCAGGTCTGCTTCAAGGTTAGCTGCTCATTGCATTGAGTGAGTGGCTGAGGTTCTGTCAGCGGCGAGTGGGCCTACTGGATGCATTATCACCTCGGCAGGGGAGCTTCTCCGGCCCTCCTGGTCTCCACCTGTGAAGCGGGCCGCCACGAATGCCTCACGCAAAAGGATTAGAAGCCTGTCAACTTCACCCCTGGCTCGACACGGATGCGCTGACCGCAGTTAATAGGTTTAATTTCACCCTTTTTGACATAGCTACCGGCCAAAGGAGAGGATTGAGGCCTTGGCCATATGGCCTATTTATTTACTTATTTGTTTATTTAATAGGGACCATGCATATTCATGAACATTGTTGTATAAATATACACCATGTAAATATGCCAGAATTAGTAACAATAACTACTTTTCATCTGCAGTCCCTATTATATTATTTATTATATGTAAACACTCAAAGGCATCATGAGGGTCTTTTGAAAGGATAATGTAGATGCCAATGCGAAGAACTAAAGGGACTGGAGAGCTTTAAGCCAACGTATAAAATCAAATGTGGTGACCATGTTACTGACTGAAGTCCTGCAAGTTATTAAGAATTGGGAAAGAGCAATCATTACACAACATGATTTTTGGCAGAACAAAAACACATTGGCCAATTTCAACTTCCTGACTAAACTTTGTTGTACTAGTGCAACAAAATGAAGGACAAAGGATAAGCTTTATGTATATAAATTAAATAAAAAATACAAAAGTGCAAATTAATATTATAAAAGATTCATTTTTTAAAAATGTATATTATATAAATCTAAATAAATATAAAACATAAATACCTTAATTTGCACTAGATACATATATATTTTTTTAATTTAAAAAAGAGAGAGACATATGGGTTGGGGGATGAATGAAGAACAAGGGAGCAAGAGGGGACAAAGAGGTTCCAAAGTCCCAAAACCACATCTGGTCTGGGGGTCCGCCACAGTGCCAGGGCAAACGCAGCAGTTCGTGTTTTCAGCTCTGTGATTTTAATGCAGACGGCCGTGTGTGTGTGCGCACGTCATAAAAATGTGTCTGTGATATTCTCCGGAGGGTTTAGAAGTTGTTTACTGCTTCTCTCTGGGGTTTGGCTACAGCTCTGTCTTTTAACGCAGTGAGACACATAATATTCTGCCATTGCACCTCCTCTTGGAGTCAATCACTCAGAGAACGCTAACTATAGTTGGAGAACCACGGCCATGCTGAATGCTGTAAGCTTTGGATTATCCCGTACAAATTTAAAATAAATACCTGGTGGGGATTCTGCTGTCGTGTTCCACCTAAGTAATCCTAATACCAACATTTACATTCAGAAAATACTGCATTAAATGAAAACAAGCAACAATCACAGCAACACACACACAAAAGAGAGACATCACAGAACTTTCTTTTGTTGTTCTCCAATATGAAGTCTCAACAGGTCTACATTATCTAGTGTTTTTGTTGTTGTTTTTCAATGAGCTGCACTACTGAAACAAGCCACTTAAAGACCCCAATGAAGTTGACTGACTAGCAGTTTTCCTTTTCTAAGCATGTGCTGATGTATTTGCAATTAAAACTTCCTTGAAAATCCCTTTTCAATAGCAAATAAGCTTAATTTGCTACTTGCTAGTCAGTTGCAGGTGGTTTTAGAGGATGAAACATTTTTATTCTAGAGACTGGACAAAAATCCAGTGCAGGATGAAGGATCTGCCTTATTGCTCCAATTTTCCAGAATAAAAAGGCGGCAAATTTATTTAAACTGCTTAATGGATTTATTCAACATTTTAGAGGTAATTAGCATGCGAATGCCACAACTAACCAACATGCATCAAAAGCTACAAAACTCAAATTTTGATTTTATGGAGTCTTTTTTTCCGCCAAGTTCCCGTACGACTATCTCATAAATGATCAGAGTTGCTCCAGATAATATTTACTTTTCTTGATGAGCTCATCTTCAGCTAGTAAACAATTTACTGAGTGTGACGTGCTGGCAGCCTATAAATCACCATGCAAAAGGAACGGTAATAATCTCATTTTCATTGATTAATGACTGCCAGTGCGGACTATTTTCTTGTTTTGTCTAAAAGGCAACAGTGACATCATCTGCTGTTTTCCCGCAGAGATCTGCAACAGCCTCAGCCTGTGCAGGGATTCCCATGGCCCTCTCTTACCACGCTTACCAACCGTTCCTCTCTACATGCGTCAAATACAACAGCAGATGATTGCCGAGCATGACCACTGTTGCAAAACTCGCTGGATCTAACGTTCTTACAGAGCGGGATGCAGTGAAACATGATCAGATCTTCTCATTTGTCATAAAAAGCCCAATGTCAGCAATTACACAAAACTTGATAGACCTATGAGGCTTTTTAGAAGTGTACAGCAATGACACACTCCTTGAATCAGTCAACTCGGTGGTTTCTCACTCTCCTGCAAAAGAAACATGAGTCCTACCTTTTTCAGACGACCCCCTTTGGTCCCCACAAAAGCCAGAGAGTGGTTCTTGTACACGTAGGCGATAACTGATGTCATTTTGTCATTGGATTCGGAGAACAGTGGAATTCCACGCACCATCTCTGAGACGCCGAGTGGGGCGTTCATATCCAGACCACAGAAGTTGTCATCGATGGTGAGGAGCTAGAAAGGAGAACAATAAATAATGTTTAATTCATCTAGAGCAGAGTAGATCTAAAACTAGTCAACTTAATGGTTATAAAATGACAAGTTGAGTCATTTCTAGTTTAAAGAAATGTAATGAACATTAGCAAGGATATGGAAATTGCTACAAATGTTATAGACAAAAATGTTTCCCTTTGACTAGTTTATGATGCAACATACATGTTTACCGGACCATTTGCAAGGCATTTTCACAGCAAATACATCATTGTCACTACTTAGCAACAATTCAGCCAGTCATATCTAAAATGGGGTTGTGAGGTTTATCGGATATAAGACCAAGTGCATTTATCATTTCAGGTGGAAAAGCATCTTAAAAAACATCTTTTAAACATGGCATTTCAGGTGATGCCGTGCGACTTTATTTGACATGTAACATATGGCTGGGAAAGTTGCCAGAGTCAGCCAGAATGGAGTGATTTACAGCTTCTGATATTGAAATAATAATTTGGTAATGCTTCCATATGTCAGTCTGCTGCAAGGGCTTCGGAAACAACGGCATCCATTGAAACGGCTGCACAGACCTCAGGATAAAATGTCAAACAAATCGAAAGCATGATTAATGATGCCCAGGGCTTTGACTCATTGAGGGCATGAAACCATAACACTTCTCAAGCGCTGCCAAATATGATACGCTCACGGCCTTTAATTCATTCATGAGTGTCTCCTCAGGCTCTGATAAGGCCTGCTCAGAAAAAAAGTTTGAATGTTAATTTAACTGATTTTTTTATATTATGCAAATTGATTAATTTAAAATCTTTATCTTTCAGAACAAAAGAAAAAAATAAAACAAAATAAAATAAATAAATTTTACTTGAACACAAATTCCTTCTAACTGTTCACTAACAATTACTCAGCGCATGTTGTTCTAAAGAAAAAACTCCCAATATCTATCAAAAAGATATTAAAAAGAAAAATCTGCAAAGTTTTCTGTAAACACATTCCACAAAATTAATGGGAAAAAGTAAAAAAAGGCAGACTTTACACAGATTATGCATAATGCAACATGTGAGACCAAGTAAAAATCTTAAATGTTCTTTTATTCTGTAAAAGGTCAGAAAAATTTATCAGCAGTACACATAGATTTCATACATGGCATAATATTTTAGTCAAACCACAGGGGAGAAAAAAAAAAGATACTATAAAAACCTCCACTGTTTGTGTGTCATCTATAGTTGTTTGACATACATGATGTAGTTAGGCACTTTAAAAGGTCTAATTTCATTCTGAAAGCGTGAACCATAACTGCCCATTATTAAGCAGCCTAACAGGTGTCTCAAGCTGCTTTATTAGCATTCATATTTCAGTTTTTAATGGCATATACTCTCAACTGGATCATGAAATACAAGACAGCTTGAGCTGCGTTTTGCCCCCAGGCACCAACCCACAGCACAGTCCCCAGTGATGAAGTAGGCAAAGGGCAATCCTGAGTGATGCCCAGGTTGTGAGAGGAAGCATCTGGATGTACATTAATCACTTACAGTCTCTTTGTATGTACTTATATAATGTACATACTCCCTTGATGAGAGTTCAATTATATCTGAAGTGGCATTTATCTTAATAACAGCGGCTCCCAGCTAATGTTGTTTGAAAATCCAATGAAGGCCAAGGGACAAAACTGTAGCTGAGCAGCAGACTGGATGAACCTCGGAGAGATGCGATCAATCAAGTGACCGGATGGGTCTTTACATGCAATATAGCAAATGTCTATTTGTCAGTGGTCAGGAGATACAAGACCCTTCATTAAGCAAATGGAAGACAGGGGCTGTCTCTCTAAAATGGCGGTTTATGAGTGATCGGCCGAATCGATAGCGAACACCGCACTCAATTCTCAGTTCACTCAATACAAGCCGGGATGAAGAATAAATAGAGAAACGAAGGAGAGAGTAGAGAGGGAGAGAGAACAGGAAAATGTTCAACATTGTATATGTTTTTTCCTCTCTCTCTTTCTCTCCGCAGATGTCTGACCTTTAGAAATGTTCTGCTGTCAGCCAAAGTCTGCGTGCTGCTTGGCTCACCAATGCCAGCCCAGAGTAATGGTGCTCATTTCTAGTGCACGGCTCTTGTTAGAAAGCCACAGCTACATGAAAGATCTGTTTTCTGCAGTGTTAGTCTTTCTGCAGATGTCTCTTGTCCATGTATCATTGCGGGATGTTGAGGCAGCAGCAACCTGCTTCTATGTGCACACCTGCTTACACATGCAAATAAAAATAAAACTCGACCACAATCATGGCCTCCAGCACCCTTCATCCTGCTTACACGGGTCAAAATATGTAAAGCCCCAACGCAGCACACTGGTAGCAACAGCTACAAAGACTTGCCACCTTTGAGGTTAAGACTGAAAAAGAAAACTGCGCTAAGAATAAACACAATGACAGTCATAGTTGTGACACAGACTAATGCCTTTTGGCATTATGGATATTTTATCAGAAAACCCAGGCCTTCGCGTGGCAGGACACATATGCCTGTGACACAGACTGGGGGAAGGGAGCATGAGTCTCGACGTCTTCTCATTGGCATATGCCACGATATTTCTGGCAAGGTGAACAACATGCCAATCAGACCCTATGTGTTGCAATCTAATGAAATAGGCTTCCTGTATGTCAACCTTTCAGGAAGCGGACACGTTTTCATTACGTAGCCACATAAACATGACATTTCCTCTCTCCCCATCCCGACATAAATAACATCTCTCAACACCCCATGCATGAGAGGGGGCGCCCTCCCTGCCACCCTCCTCTACTTCTTTGCACTCTCCGTTTCTCTGCCTTTTATGCTTTCTTTCTGTCTACAACTGCCTCGCTCGCTCTCGGCACGGAGCGGACGAACAAGCTGCAGCATTATTGCCAATTTCACACTGCACGTCTGAAGGTGTACAGGAGAAGGAGGGGGGAAAGAAAGAAAGGAGGAGGGAATGGTTTGATGAGCGCAACAAAAAGCTTCTGGATCGGCGTAGGCGCCGTTTTTTTTTTTATTTGAACTGGTTTCAGAGAACGGGGAAGCAGAATCAGGTCATTCGGACCGCTCGCTGCCTGGCTACGTCCTGCAACACAAAGGCAGCTCTCTTTCCTTGCGCCGGCATCTCTGTGTCCCTGGATAGTAAGACACCAAGTGAAAATCTTATTTGTATTTATTTATTTTTTTTAAGCTTTTTTCCAAGTCTTTTTGTCCAATTGGAGCACACAGAAGACTAACCTTGAAGAGCATCTGGCACAAGAAGTAAAAGGAACCCTGGTTGCCGGTCTGGGGCACGAACTACACACTTTTTAGTTCAAAACGCCTTTTGTATTCCTCTCTGTTAGCTGAGAGGGCGCAAAACATTTTAATGCGCTATTAATAGATCGCAGTTTGATCAAAATGCACAGTTTATGCAAATAAACCCTGATCAGTGCTGCGAGTGTACATCATTCAGATTATGATTCGGCTCTTCAAGAGCTAATTCTGCACAGTCATATAATTACCCTTTCAGAGTCTTTCCTTTTCATGCTCAAGTAATATCTCACACAGGGATTGTTGTTAGCAACAAAGACATTATTTCCCACAAATCTCAGCTCCACGTTCGACGTAATTATATCAACACTCAGTCAGCTCGAAGCACAGCAATCCTTGTGCTTGTACAATCCAGAGGAATTTAAGAGGTTGTTTTTTGTGTCCGTTATGCGTTTGATTGGGAGCATTCTTCACTCGCTCTGTCTTAATGGTTTCTATCAGGATTGAATGATTGATAGACAATCATGCTGACTCTCCACGGAGATGAACCATTCAGGAGAACAGCATAATGGCACTCTATTAGGGATGCACAAAACCTCATATTTTCAAATTGGACTATTTGTTGGGTTTCCTGAACAACTACTTCACTCATCGGTTTTATAATTAGGCTGATTTCGGGTTTGTCTGACGCAACATGTTTTTTAAGACACATAGAGATGGCTTATGTTTAAAATCCAGGGGTGGCCAGCTCTGGCCCTCAAGGTCTACTTTGTTTCAGAGTTTAGCTCACCTGCCTGTAACTTTCTAGTAAACTTGAAGACCATGATTAGCTTGTTCAGGTGTTTTTTTTTAAGGGTTGGAGTTAAGCTCTGAAGGACAGTGGACTTTGAGGATCAGAGTTGCCCACACCTGACCCTGACAGAACACAAGAGAATGGAGCAGGGGTTGAGAGACATTTTATAATTGGACTATTTTTAACTTGACAAGTAGGGAGGCATGATATATTGCTTTATACAGTATATAGATTTTTTTAATTTATCGGTAGATATGGGATAATTAATTTCCGCATGCTCATTTCTCCTACTTTTACATTTAGATTGCCACAATTTAATACTCACTTACTCTTCAAAAACAGTAATAATTTAAAAAAAAAAGTTATCTTTTTTCTGTAATCTTTAGCAAATCACAAAATGAATATCCATTTCCATACTGTACATTGTTTTATTAAAAATGCAAGAGATGTGAGATGAGAGAGGAGCCAAAACGAATGAATTTGATATTTGAAGTTGTTAATTTTAACCTTTTTTTTTTTACATTATTTTTAATCATAAAAATGGTCTAACAGCTAAAGCACCAGCACTAAATATATAATTTATTTGAAAAAATTTAAATAAATAAATCATGGACTCTGAGGCGTTTTTGGGGCCCTGGAGATGTTTTGACATGTCCTGACATTTCTGCTTATTTCAGTTAATTTTAACGGCTAAAGTCTGATTACACTGTATTCAGCGTTATCACCCATCCCTACACTCCCATGCCATCCTTTTTCCACACCGCTCTTTTGAATTAAAGGCCTCATTATCTCTGTTTCCATCCTTCTGTGGCGTCTACCCAGTGCTGACTTTACCAGAGTACTCGGCTAAGAATAAATGAAAAGATGTGAGTGATGAATATCGCACAACTATCTGCAAGTAATGACGCTTAATGACTTAATGACTGTGAACCCTTTCGGTAAGAAAGAGATTCTGCAA